TTGATAATGATGGACTCTTGTGCGTGCTGGACGACAGCCCGGGTGACGACTTGGATGCAGATGTGGTTCGCATAATTTCTGAAGATAGCATGGTGCAGATAAATAAGGATGCTGAGCGTTTATCGCTAGAGAATTTCAAACTATGAATCCTACTGCAAATAAATTCTTTAAATGAACTTCGATAATCGCCAACTGAATACGATGTTTTATATATCGATATTCACCAGTTACTAACGATTCAGAAGTATTGTGTTAATTAAAACAAAGCTAAAAAATAAATATGAATGATTCATCACTGTGTGCAAAAAGTAGTTTTTATAATATTAATAAAATCAATTAGCGGCGATACACATAAATGTATATTTGTATCAACACTGACCAGAGAACACAGTGGTATCAACATATTCAAATATACCAATAAAATATCGATATTCCTATTTAACTGTTTAGTGTTGTAAAAGATTACCATAATATTGCAACGCGTTTTTCGGTATTTTTGTGTGTTTTTGTGATTTTTAACTGCACTGACATCATTTCATTTTCTTTAAGAGTTTTGCTTATTAGAATGGAAGCCCTAGACATTTTGGAAAAAAGAATAGATGCATTGAACCGTGTGCTAGGTCCCCTGCCCGAAGCACAAGTTGGAGACGATGTTAACACAACGAAGACTGCCAACATTGTGGACACTCTTTGTTCTGCCAACGCCTTGCTGAGCGAAGCCACAACGGGACGAATCCAGGTGCAGCAGTGCGTGGGACGTGCAGCGGAATTGGAGAAATATTTGGATCCCAACTACTTGGAGGAGCAGCAGCAGGTTCGCGCCAAAGAAGTCTACATAAATGCCGTTGCCCCTGAGCTATATGCACAAAGCGAACAGCTAGCACGAATCAAACAGCTGGAGCCGGCGCTCGGTGCCGAATATTTTCGGAGCATACCCAGCGAGTGTCTTGACAAGCTCAAGCAGATCACTGAAAATAACGACGAATATGCTCAGCAAAGCGAACTAATTGAGGAGAGCCTCATATTGGCCATGAAGCGTTACGGTGAAATACAAGCAGGCTTGCTCACCTCGCTGGATGCGATGAGCGAACGCCTCGACCAGGTCGAACAGCGCATGGAGCAGCAGAAACGGGCCGAGCTCACAAAGGATGTGTCTCCAAAGGACTAAAGTCCTACACTCCCTCCCACAAGTATTTAACCTTAGATATTGTTCCACTGTTCGCCTGTAAGACTTTTATTTAATACGATAGCAAAATACACGGATCTATTTACTAAAACAGAGCTTATCTTAAATAGATTCGGGAATGTGAAACTAGCCTTGTCGCGTGGCAACAGTAACCTGTACCCTGGTAGATGTAATATTCGTAAAGTACATATTTATGTATATTTCTCCAAAGCTTGAATGATTTTCCTATTCAAGCGTCTTGCACAAAAGACATCTTAGATCTTAGATCTGTGTGAGATATGACTAAGTTGATAAAGCAAAGACCCGATACATCTGCAAGGGCACGCAACCTCCAGCACTTCAAGGATACTCGTTCTATCTTGTTAGTCTTATATGATACTTAAAACTAAGAACTTATGCTGTTGATGGCTTAGAAGCGCAGCTCGGCACGTTGTATTTGGTCGTAGATGGGCTGCGTCAATGGCACATAGCAGCCATTGTCTTGGGAATAGTAGAAGAGCTCGTCCTCGATAGTGGCTGGATTATATCCCTGCTGCTGAAGCTCCACCTTACGCAGCTTGAATGTTCCTGTTAGATCGATGCGACGCAAGAAGCGCAGGAATTGCGGACGGGCATAGCTGGGCACGGCACTGGCGAGTGCTGTGCCCAGCTTGGACACATCCACCTCCCGGGTGGGATCATAGATGGCGGCCATGCCGGCGCGTCCCTCTGTCTGGGGTATGAACACTCCGTAGACAATGGTGTCCTTGTAGTTGACCAGATTGCTGAGCACTGCCTCCACTTCGCTGGTGGAGACGTTCTCGCCCTTCCAGCGGAACGTGTCGCCCGTGCGATCCTTGAAATACAGATAACCGTATTCATCGGTCACCAGCAGATCGCCCGATATGAAGGCCTTGTCGCCTTTGCTGAATACGTCGTAGACGACCTTCTTGGAGGACGCCTTGGTGTCCACATATCCCAAGAACTCGCGGGAGGGATTGCCTTTAACGATTTTTCCTATGAACACGCCCGGCTCATGCGGGGCACACAGCTCACAGAGGCCCTTCTCGTTGCGTATGGGCTCGCCAGTGTGGAGGTCGGCGCGGATAATAGAAATGGGGTAGACCTGCGGCAGTATGCGGGAAACGAAGCCAATGGCACCAACAGTGTTGTCGTTGTTTATGATGTTTGCATTGCCCTCGGTGGCGCCGTAGAACTCGCCCACTTTAGCTATTTTGAAGCGCTCGACGAACTGCTTCCAGATCTGCGGGCGCAGTCCGTTGCCAAAGACCATGCGTACCTGGTGCTGCCGATCGTGTGGCGCATCCGGCGTAGCTAACACGTAGCGCGCCATCTCGCCAATGTACTGGCCCACCTGGAAAGATGCCTGAGATGAGAACTTGTCAAAGATCGCGGCAGTGCTGCCTGCTTACCGTGCAGTGGAAGCGGGCGCAGTCGGCAAAGTATCCCGAGGCGCTGAATTTCTTGCGTATGACCACGGTGGACCCGAAGAGCAGCGCTTGGCCCATGGTCATAGTGCCGCCAGCCGTGTGGTAAAGCGGCAGTGGGGTGTAGAACACATCGTTGTCCCGGAAGCCCAGGGTGTAGTGTATCCCAGCGGCTATGAAGAAATAGCTGTGGCCACAGAGTATTAAACCTACATCATCTGTCCTGCAGAGTCTTCTGGACTCGAACTTACCGCGAGTGCGTAATGACGGCCGCCTTAGGCAGTCCGGTCGTGCCCGATGTGTAGATGTATACCAGCTTATCCTGGTGATCGGCTCGACTGGCCCCGGCGGCGACCTTATCCTTGGGCGCCGACTCCAGCAGGGTGTTCAGCTGCTGCGCTAAGCCCTGGGCTAGGCCTTCCGTGGGTACAGCTGCCGTTGTCTCGTCGTTGAATTGATAGAGCGCCACATGGGCGGGTAGATCCTTGGCAATATCCATGACCGCAGACCGGTAGCTTACGCCGTAGATGAGCGCCGTGCAGTTGCCCACTTTAATGCTGTGCTGCAGCGAGGCGCCACGCAGGTTCGTATTGATCAGGGGCGTGATAACGCCAATCTTGGACAGGCCCAGCCAGGTGCCCACGAACTCGGCACGATTCTCCAGCAGCAGGCCGACTACGTCGCCCTTCTTATAGCCGTGACTGTGGAACACGTTGGCGACGCGGTTCGCATGCTCGTTTAGCTGACGGAACGTCCACTTCTGCGACTCGCTGACGATGGCCAGCTTGTCCGGCTGCCTAGCCACAGTCGCCTCGAACACGTCGCCCACGTTGAGGTTCTTCCTCTCCAGCCGCTTGATAAAGAGTAAGACGCGTATGTACGCAATCAGAGCGCTATAAAGAAACATTTGAGAGATCGCATGGACAGGAAGAGCATCCAATTGGTCTTACACCGTATCGCGGGGCCCAGTCACCGCCGCTATGTAAAACCAGCGCCAGCCTGGCTTTATCACCAGCAGCACCATCAAGCCCAGATAGAGGGCAGCCAGTCCGTACCAGGTTCCCTCGTAATACCAGACCACAGTGACAATCGCGGCTACGACTGGCACCAAGAGCCCCAGTAGAAGCCAGCTGCGGCAGTTGCTCTTCTCCCTGGCATTAGCGTTATCCTGGCCCATGCTAATTTGCACTTCCTTAGGTGCAGTCTGAAATAAATACCAATAGGTCGATCCTAAGTAACTTTCCTTCCAGCTGGCTCTTTGCTCCCAGACAATGTGGAAGCTGTACAGACTCGAGACAATCGTATCAATATTAAATTTTACTGTAAACAAGTTTTTTTGTTAAAGCCAAGAGCAGGGAGAAGAAAAGCGGTTCGATAATTCATATCCCTTGCTGGAGATCATACTGTAATATTTTTAGTCCTATGCAGAATTCAGTGTAACCCCTAGTCAATCACTCCCGATGCAATTGTCGCTATGTTTTATTTACGACATTGACAGTTTCGCTTGAAATATACAGTAAATAGTAGATAATCGAGTATACTAAAACGTAAAGCCTTATAGCTTTTCAAAACGGAATAATTGTATCGATTAATGCCGAGAACTATGTAGTAACTAACACACACATACGACTTTCAGGTTTTATATATGTAAGTTGATCTAAGCTATAGCGCTTAACTATGTAAATCAGATATCTGAGGCAAAAATGTTATTTACGTATAATTATTATTAATGCTTAATATGTGCATATATAGATATTTTAATTTAATTGTTTTGCAATATATACAAGTTCCTATCCAGTGTCCGATTTTAAATGTCTACTACTGTATGTAACCACGATATTGTAGTTTCGACATTCCCAAGCGCAATGTCCATTACTTACCTTAATATCGGTATATGTATATATATTATTTCAAATTTTTTGTTGACTCTCGACAACGATTTTGAGAAACATTTTAGACTGCTTTTGCATAGGGTAATTAAAGACTGAAGTACATTTCCCATAAATAAAACCTGACGCCTGATCCCATTAAAGTCTGTGCCCTTTAGGTTGCTTTAGGTCAAGAGCGACAAGTTTTCATATTTATCCGATTGAGTTCGCGATTTTGCGAACTTTGTTTTGTTTTTGTTTTTTCTTTCGTAGTATTGCTTAACTTGCTAACTTAAGGTACGACAAAAGCTGATTATTGAAAAGAGAAGACAAGACATCTTCCGATTTTGAATTTTTAGCTTATGCTCTTTTTGGCATTCGCATCACATATGAGATATGTAGGAGTGTTTAAAACATATATTATATATTTGATAGAAGTCCAATATTCTGAACGATCTTCACTGCAAACTTATCTATTATATTTTCTTCAATACGAACGTTTTATTAGAAGAGTAGTCAAAGTTGATTATCTTGATTAATGCAAAAGTATTCGTGAATATTTCTTGAATAATGCGTTCATCACTCTGTGGATAGCTCCGTGGAGGTCCACGACTCTGGTAATTGCGGCTTGTTTAGTTCGCACATGGATGACTTGTTCACGTTTTTTATCTTACGTAGCTGGAGTTCTATGTGGGCGAATTGTTACTTTTAGCAAATATAAATATGTGGGTGTCTGATCGAGACTGATCGTCGTTAATTGTCGAAGCGGTGGCCGATGCGATTCGAGATCTCTTTAAAGTGCATCATCGCCTTTCGTTGGGCATCGGCTGCCAGCTTGTTGGATAATCGGATCAACAGGCAAATGGTCAAGGCCGCAGTGAGACCCACTAAATAGAAAAGTATCTGAATTTGGAAGCAGTTCCGTCAGTTGATTACAGGAGTTTGGCTACTCAGCTTTACCTTGTGCCAGATATTCAGTTTCACGGCAACGGGCGGGAGTTCCCCTTCCTCGGCTAGTCGCACATTCTCAGTGCTTTTCATCATGGTCCTTAAATATTGTATTACTCGACGACTCTATCAGATTCTCTAGATGTTTGTCTTTAGAAGCTATGTTTTTATGTTCGAATATTTGATATTATTTTTATTTCTGTTTTTGAGTTTGATTTCCCTTGAATATTTTTCAATATTCATAATATTTGATGTTTACTTCTTAGTCGTTGGGGATTTTGAGATTTGAGAAATGATTGCACAAAAAGAATTATATACTTAAATTGAAAATTTTCTTTTTTATATCTCAAGATTCCCTCGTATATCGGAAATGTTTGAAGAGCATCTTCATCTTCGCTGTATATAGTATATATTTAGTATATATATATTTTATATATTATTTTCTAGACTATTTTTAGACTATATTAATCCGTGTTTCTAAATAGATTCATGGGCATTCAGTCACTATTAAGTAATCTGGGGCCATGCAGGAAATAGCATTAATCAAATCTGAAGTCTTGAGTGCTAATTGTTTACTGTCCATGAGATCATCTTATATTTCGGAATTCCCCAAGAGCAAAGCACTTACTTCCTTATAAATAGTATGTTTAGCGACTACCATGGTAATATTCTATATTTGTAGACATATATCAGGTAATGATTGATGGGCAACTGGCAACTGAGCAGATCTCAAGATTTAACGCACGAGAAATTATGTAAACGTCGCAAATGCTATATAAAGATGGAAGAGAATGTATTCTGTCAACCAGTTTAGAGCTGACCTACGCCATGGACTTGACTTGCAAACCCAGTCGAGCATTTCATATCGAGATGCGACTGAATGGCTAAGCGGACTACAAGAAACTTGTTTCCAAAGATAAAAGCGGGCACTTCGATCGAAGTATATCCAAAATATATGCGGCGACCGAGTATAAAACTATGTAACATGAAAAGGCAGCGACAACAACCCAGAAATAAAAACAATTAACGACATAGGTTGGATTACACTTTGAGATACCCTGTAATCCAGCAAACTCATACGCCTGGAAAATATAGTTTTATTTGAATTTTGGAAAATATTGAGCATCAATTATTTATTTAAATTCTAGTCCTAAATAGTTCAACTTTTTACATTGTATAATTGGGACTCGTGTCAAGCAAGTCTGCTGCATACGCTCCGGCTAATTGATCAAACTCGTTTGCCCAGTTCTCTGCTCACAGGGTGTGAAAAGCATCGGTAAAAAACTGGTTTCGTGCGTTTTATCACATATAAGGTTTTGCCTCAGATCGGGCGCAAAAGCACCAAAAAATGTTAATAATATATCGACTATAGGTTACCTGTGTGGAGTTCAAGGCTGTCGGACCTTGGCCAGGGGCAACAGCATCATTCATTTCGGGCTCCGATGTGAGACAGATGATGCCGATAAGAGTCGCTCAGCGGCGTTGATGGCAGTGTTGATTAACGTCTGCAGTCTGCGGGTAATTAAACTTGGCTTTATTACTACTGTAAGTGTTAAGTATTAAGCTTTTCTTTTCATTTGTTTTTGCTGGTTTATTTGGCTCTCTTCTTTCCTCGGGTTATTTGTTACTTTCAACATGAGATTGCTGGCAATTAGACGCGAGTGAGATGTGAAGTTGAATTGTAGCCGAGCCGACACAATGAAAAATTGCCCTTTTCGTCAGTTGCGGTTCGCGGCGTTACCTGGTACTGGAGGCTGCAATTGGGGCCTTTTCTATTTGAGTGTGGCTCAAGGTGAGGCTTATTTACGGCTTTGGGCTTGGCTATTGTCAGGGGCTTTGACTGCGAGGTTTATGCGTGGCCGTAATTGTTAAAATGATTTTTGTTTATATTTTTTGCATAAGCGGATGCAATTTCGACGCCTCATTAATGGCTAAGCCAAAGCGTAACTCAACTCATATGCGAGCTTCCACTTTGAAATGTATTTTCAAGTACTTATTATGACTCTCAACTAGGAAAGACCTCTTGATTAAAGAAGAGGAAGGCGTACTTGGCTATAACCATAAGTAGTTAAGTATTTGTTATGTAATTTAATAGAAATACCAGTAGCCCAGTTCAGATTTCTTCCAACTTGAGCCCCTTTCCACAGTTTTGTACAATTGTCTGAAAAATCTCGATACGGCACTTGTTATTTAGTTATACAAACTACTTCGTTGAAAAATAACTCAGCACCAGAAGTATATGTTGAGCCTACTCGCACAGGACTAATAAAACTCAGTCTATCCAGTGTCAAGTAAAGTAGAGTATTCATTATGAGCTTTTTATGGCATTAAAATATATTAATAAGAAAGCTCCAGTCGAGACTGCCCGACTACGAGATCCCCTGAACCCTTTGAGCAACCGATATTTTAATAATTATTCGCACATGCACACACACACGCACACACGCAGGCACAGTGGTGGCTTACTATGGAAAATTAATTATTTATTAACTTTTCTCGTGGGTGGACTATCTTCATGAAACTTTCAGATTCTGATTATAGCATGGGTATGTATGCATTTGCCAAAGCCCGAGTCTTTAGTATTTGAAATACACCTTTTACAAATATGTGGGTGAGGGGGTGAGTTTTGAAGTTCTTCAAAGTACATATGAATCTACATTTAACATTTTGGCGACAGTAGCCTTAAAAAATGTAGCAGATATAAATTTATTACGGGTTTTCGAAAATGTCTTTAATCGACAACAAAACAACGGGGAAAGCTATCGATTTTTGAAGCAACACTCGATATCCGCGTGGTATACACGGACCTAGGAAAAAATTGCAAGTGTCTAGCTCTTATATCTTCTTAAATCGACGCGTTCAAACATACTGACAGACGGAAGGACGGACAGACTGACAGACAGACAAACGGACAGGGCTAAATCAGCTCAGCTCGTCGCCCTGATTAAGAACATATATACTTTGTGGGGTCTGCCACGCCTCCTTCTGCCTGTTACATACATTTCAACAAAACCATTATACCCTGATTTCTCATTGAAATTGAGTTCAGGATATAAAAAGACGATCAAGTCTGGAACGCCAGTCTGCTTAATTTTCGGATAGTAAATAAAAAGATAAACTTATATTTTACTCGTAATCTTTGCTCAAATGGAAATATGCTTTGAAATAATTATAAACATTTTATGTTTTCATACTAAATAGTTTCGTTTTTTACTTTAACATCTTGTGAGTCTATTTGATACAGAGAGACTACTATACTATACTTTTTACTATAGCGAGACATCGATGAGGGATTCATTTCTAATTATTTGTGATTGGGTAACGTACAAATTATATATAAAACAGGTATATAATTACAGATAATCCATAGAACACTGACTTTGAAGCGCAATTATTTTCTTGCTCTTGCTCTTGCTACTTTATTCAGTTAATTAAATCAAACTCGAACTACAAGTATACAACAAAAAGTAGTTAAGATATTGCAACTGCAGCTGGGTTTTTTACATTCAGCTTTCTTGTTGCTGTTGTTTATTTATTTATTATTATTTTTTTTTTTTAACTTTGTTATTATTGTTTCCCTGGCGTAGTTGCAATGAGGCCAAAGTCCCGGCCAGCAGTCACATCTTCACAAGGCAACCATGCTGAATGATGAAGCATCTTCACTTTCACAATGTGTTTCATTTTCTCTTCAATTCATTTTCACTCTTTACTCTTCACTCTTTGTTGTTAGTTCTTTTTTGCACTCCAACAACCGTTGCCCACTCTAAGTGAGGGCTCGAAAAGCAAATCTATCGACGCGACGTCGCGACGCTTAACTCGAATACGATCTTCAGGCAAAGCTTTGTGGCACGCACTTATTCACTCTTGTTGCATATGCGATTTCCGTGAGGTTCCAGTTGATTTGCTGCCAAGTGTTTACTGTTTCATTGTTTCGTTCGCTCGTTTTGCCGGTTGCGTCTATAGGCCAACAGCTCAGCTCGTCAACTGCGCCCAAGCCGAGTCGCTGCCCAAGCTCAAGCTTATGGTTTCAACTGGCAGCAGTCGCCGTCTGCGTCGACGTCGCGACGTCAAAGTTGGCTTCAGGTTAAAACAATACAAGCTTCGCAGCGCAGCTGCACCTGCAGATGCCAGTGTGTATGTGTGTGTGGCAGTGTATGGGTGAGTGAGCGCTGGCTCTGCTACAAGTATCTTAGATAGAATTTGATTGCTGCCTTTGATTGAAGTTTTGGCTCCTTGCGTGCATATTTTTATTTGGTTGCACGCACGTGTAAATTGCTGGCGCAAATATACCCTGTATACCGTTGAGTATATCAACGACACAGTATGGTCTGTCGCAGTTTTTCAGTTTTGAGCAAAAAAGATTAAATTAACATTATGTTTCAAAATATTTCTTACAATTTTTTAATCACTGTTGAATTTAATTTTATAAAATATTTATTTATACTTTTTGTAATTTTATTAAGGGATTTTTAATACTTTTTAAACATATACTAACATTTTTTATATCTATTCAAAATATATATTATTTCCCTTATTTTTATGTGCTGTCTTTACTTATTGTTCATCTCTCGTGTTGTTTCCGTTGTAGCTTCTTTGAGGAGCAGGTGGAATTGAAACGTATGTAATATGCTGCCTATTTTAATATTTTTATTTTAATTTTAATTATTCGTCATATGCTCGTGATTTTTTAGTTGTATCTTATTAAATAAATGCAAACGTGGAATTGAAACAAACTATTCAGTTGAAAGAGATTTAACAGCAGAAGCACATTTTGAACATATTCGCACATGACTAATCAAACTCAGTCTAACCAGTCTCAAGTATAGTAGAGTATTCATTATGAGCTTTTTATTGCAGTAAACTATAGTAAAAGAGACGATCAAATCTGGAACTCCAATAGAGATAAAAATACACAAAATGGTCTGCTCAATTTTCTCATAATAAATTGCTTCAGTTTTTTGTAAAAAAAATTATAGTTGTAGCATTTTATAGGATCACATGGAATTGAAACGTAACTTTCATATTTTCATTTTTACTGATAATAGCCATTATTAATCCTAGTTGGATATTAGCTAGACCGAATTCAGAGTTTACTAAGGGTGCCTCAGGATCGAGCATTTTTCAGTTTTAGAATTCTCGCAGACCGGTTGCCGTTAACATTTCAACGGGGGGCGTACAAGACACATCGACAATGTCGCTATAAAAACAGAACCGAATATAACAAGCGAAAGAGTGTGAGAGAGAGAGAGAGAAAGAGAGAGCGACGAGAGCCTAAGAAAATACTATAAGAAATTCTGCACGCAACATGCGAAGGGTAGAGTGAGGGCGGGACAGAGCAAGACAATTGCATTTAATTCGAAACACGTGTTTTGCTCTGCTCTCTTTATCATATATACATATTTATATGTATATGCATGTATGTTTTATATGCGTTGGCTTGTAGTCGTGAAGAGGGAAAGAAAGAGGCGGAGAGGGAGGGAGAGGAGGCAGTCGAGCCCTCTCTTCCTCTGGTCATGCGTGCAAACAAGTGCATCACAGTTCAGTAAAGCTTTGAATTCAAATACGCGCAAGCTTATAAAAGAAAACATATATATGAAAGATTTTTATATTTGTATGTATGTATATGCATGTGCATGCATATATACAGATTAACATGACTTGGCTAAATTGTCTCAAGAGCAGAGCTCAAATGAACCAAATGCATTTGTGGGAGATTCGGAACGGGGTTAATTGACATTGCGAAACTATTTGAAGTTTTCAGATGAGAGGTATTTATAGTTAGTGTTAGTAATATCCAAATCTGCATATGTATGTTGAAAAAATTACTTCTGATTTTTATTTACCGAGAATTTCACATTTATTAAAAACAGACGTCTATTCAGTGTTATTTCAACAGTGCTGTGAAGTCAATTACGAATCGATTAGCTCGTTCGAGTGTGCCTAAGCATTTTCGCAAACGAGTTGAGTTTATTGATCTACGATTATGTATGGATACAATAAATCAATTGAAACAACAGTTACTTTAGGTGTACTTTAGTACCTTAGAATGTGTGCCTGGAAGAAAAGCAAGTAGCTAAAATTATTTGTCTTTCATTTTTATAATTGATGGCGCTTTCTTCCCATTCTTAATGGGGGCTTAAAAGCAAATAGTGGAAGCCTAATGGAGACACACATATGTCAACTCATCTAAGCTGAAAGACAAAATGCATTTTATAATGACAACGAGTTTTAAATGCTCTTTGTAAGAAGCACTAGCACATGCCTTGAAACCTGCGCAGAGCTACTACTTCAATGATGATCCTAGCAAACAGTTCAATATAACCTACATAAATACTTAATTTAGAGATTTTAGTACTGTATTTCGATATATGTTTCTGGGACTAATTATAGAATCTTTGAAATACAATTGATCTGCGCTACAGTTAATATAAAGATTAGGTATATTAATGTAAATTTTTGTTGCGATAAGCGCATGACTGGTAATTGTGCCTACTTATTGGCTATGTAAATCTAACAACCCTTTGATAAACTGGCGGAACGATTGACAGTTTGCAGTGTAAGATTAAGCAAAATAATATTACTCGTGGCTTTATGAGTTGATTTTTCAGAGAGTGTCAATATACCAGTAACAGGTGCAATATTAATACAATATTATGCTAAAATTACTATTCCAAATGGATATAAAGATAATGTTAAGTAGTAAAATATTTCCTACTTAATTAATTTTCTACTTAATTAATTATTGCTCTGACACATAAAAATGTATAAAAATTAGTTTATGAAATTTAAAAA